TAGTTGCAAAATAATTGCTGCAAAAATAACAAATAAGACCTTATTGAGAAAAAGATGTTTGTTATTTATAGGCTAAATGCAGGGGATCTAGAATAGTGAAAAAAAATCTGAGTGGAACAGGACTGGAATCTTTTGACCAGCCACAATGATGCCTCTTCAACAGTTTTTCTTTTTGCTGTTTAAGAAATAAACAAACAAAACCATCCCAAAATCCCAAAACAACCCCGCAAAAAACCAAAAAACACATGGGGATACACTGGCCACAAAAGAGAGGAAAACCACAATCAAGTCAAAGCTGTCCTTCCAGGACTTTACCGATTTTCAATATAGGAAGCTAATTTCATCTCAGTCACCCCCTCCTCGAGCTTCAGAGAGCAACAGGAGGTCCTCTGACTCCCTGAGCTACTGAATGCTTCTACCTTTCCCTAACTCAGCTTAATTTTCTCTCTTAAAGAGCATCAGAGCTACTTTCTTCACAGCAACTGACTTACTGCTGCCAGGGGGAAGTTAGGACAGCTCGAAAAAGAAAATGTCAGACAACATCGCTGTCAAAAGAAGAGGAAGTGACTGAAAGTATAAAAGGAGCCCCTGTGAACCGCCTTCTGTGTGTGGGAACATCTGCAATCCAAACACAGGGAGCTTCATGCAGTTGAGATTCTGCAGCAATAGCCTTCCAACAGCTGAGCTGTGTGACTGTCATTGCATGGATTGTTAATACTCACATAGCTTCAGAATTAGATTAAAGAAACACAGGTAGAGTTCTGTAACTCTCAAAGGGTCTTTACTATCTTCCAAAATCTGTTATTACTATAATGATAGTTTTCCAGTATCAGGAAGATTCTCACATTTTCCAGCTGGCCCAGAGGAAACAAAAACTTGTGGGCTGCCAAACCTTAATGAGATTGAGTTTGGCCACACTCATGAAACACTAAGCTTCATGCAGAGAAAATTTTGGGTTAAACAAACAGAAATGTGTTGTGTTAGTATTAAAGTATCAATGCAATATAGTAACTAAATCTATTCAAAAGAAAACAACCAACAATTCAAATGTTAATTTTTATAAATTACATTGATTTCAGTGAAAGCAATAACAGTCTGCATAGTATTTAAAAAAAAAAAATGGAAAAAAAGTTAGTAATCACAAGAACACATTATGTGATCACATTAATTTGTTCTGCTTCTCACATGTCACTTCGCAGCAGAGTAGACTCTGATGGCATTAAACATTGTAGGACAAACAGAGAGAACAGAAGTTCATATGCAGGACTTAAAAAGAGTTTGATTTTATTAATCTGAACTTCTTGGAAAGAACAAAAAGTTGGACATTCAGTTAATTAAAACCTAACTATTATACTTTTCTAATTTTCAGTAGTTTGCCATCATTTAAACTATTAAAGTCAGTGCAATTATGCAGAGCAGACAGATGTATTTGTGCACCAGGATGCAGAGCTGTACAGGGGTCATAAAAATACATTTGTGATGAGTATTACAACTCTTCCCAGAGTAAAACAAAAAAAGAAAATGCTTCTAAAATTACAATTCTCAAGTGACTAAAATACAAACTTCTGTTCTATCCTTCTGGGTGCTATAAACAATGATTTTCATGTGTCTTCTTTATTTACTGGTCACCTCCCTACCTAATAAATTTGGGAATGCTAATTGCTTATCAAGCTACAGTCTAACAGTGAGAGATGGTTTGAACATTGAGACTTCAACAGACCACAGTGGTAGGACAATCTGTTGGTAAGACATTCACATCCTCAGGGGGACAAGTTATTAAGTGTTCAGCGAAACACTGTCTCAAAATAAAAAACAAAAGGCAATCTAAATGTCCAGCCCCAAACTGGAGCCACTGAAGTAATTTCTTTGATGTTTGGAGCCTGTAACCAAACCATCACCTTCAGGTCTCTTGCCCAGGTGAAAGACTACAATAGGAGAGGTCACAGAGCAACCTTAAGGTTTAGTGGGAAAATTTCTCAAGAATTCAAAGACTAAGTAAGAATGTTCCTAAGACTGAAACCTTACTCCACAAAAGTCTGCAAAAAGGCTACATCAGTTATATCTTCAGTATGTGCAATATGGGTTGCTCATGTGTATAGCAAAGTAATATAAACACATTGTGACAGTTAAATGTGATCCAAAAGACATAACTGAAAGAACGTGAATCCCCTGGAGCAGGATGCAAAAGACATTCCAATCAAATTAAAAAACTGTATGTAGGTAACATGATAACACTTTAAGAATAGAGAATAATGAGAAAGAATCAGGTAAGAGCCACTGAGTAGTGGAAAGATTAATACTGACTTCAGTAATTTTGAGGTTCAGTTTGAAGAAAGAACAAAAACAAAGCAAACAGTCTTTGCAGCATAGCTTGCACAGCAGGAAAGCTGTAAAGTGGTTCCTAGTAACATTGCAGCAAAGCTGTGTTAGAGGACATTACAAGTTGTAAAGACAAGCTCTCAAAAGGTGAGAAATGCTATGATGAAAGTACTCTACACTTAATTCAATCCCTGGTGCAGAAATGTTGTAATGGGCCAATTAAGGTCACAGACACAATTTTTACATGCAAATTTACTGCACGGAGGAGATGGCTGCTCAGAAATGCTATTTATTCAACAGACTACTTTCCTCATTGTTCAAAAAGAGATCTTGCAACACAGCAAGTGTTCTTCAAACCTTGCTGTGGTAACACATGTTCTTTATTTGCTCTGTAATGCTGATCTATTATGACAAAATGTAACATTATACATCTGTCTCAAAGGAGAAATTTGATTTACAGTTGAAACACAACTAATGAATTTTCCCTATCTTTATGAAATGGAGAGGATAAATACACTTAACCTCTGTTTCCTGTCTTCCAATTAAGAAAGTTAAAAGACAAATCCTAGCTTGTGCATTTTGAGACACCTAGACCTGATTTCTCAGAGAAGAAGCTAGTTAGCACTTCTGATACAGCGGAGTGCTCACACTTCACCAACCACAAAGATTTCAAATCCAGCATTCAGAAATGAAGACAACTAAATTAGTGAATACTTCTTAGAGGTTAGTTTAAGAGGCTTGCCCAAAACCACTGCTTGCAAGCAGGTAATACATAGATAGATTCTTACTCAAGTACAACACAGCCTTTGAAACTGAACAGCCTGAACCCCAGACACCACTTTCATCCTGCAATTAATGTCCTCCTTCATTCACTTGCAAATGTGTCAACAACTCAAAACCTACCTGTGCATCCCTCACCATACCATCCTGGTTCACTCCCAGCATGGCCTCTCCCTCTGCCTTTCAGGAGGCTGTGCCTCCACAGCAGGGCACAACAGGTTACTGAAGTCCAGAGCACAGTGCATGAGCGCAGCAAGGTTAGACTGACATTGCCTATACAATCCACAGCTTCTGAAGCTTTTGATTTGTAACTGTCTAATGCATTGTTTTGCTGCAAGCAAATCTTGATTTTCATTAAATAAGTGCCATCTGAGATGTATCAATGCCTCCCAGTTCTCCTGAACAATCTGCAGACACTGCAGCACCCCACGATCTTTCCTCCATGCAACTGCTCAACTCTGGACTTCACTTCCTTCTTTGATCTCCATTTCTCCTTACGCCTAACCCCAGGCTATGTGCCCAAATAGCATGACTAACCTTTCTTCCCCCAGTGCCATCCCCCAGTCAGGATCTTATTTCATTCCTATCTGAACTAGAATCTCGTTCCTTTCCATAAGCTCTTTGCCTGAGAGAGTGATGTTTTCTTCAGTCACAGTTCTGGTAAATGGACTCTGTTCACCCAAACCAGAAAGAAAATTCACCCTCAGGAGTAGGTGACTGCAACTTTACAAAGTTTATAACATTGTTAGTTGTCGAAAGAAGTCAGTATATATTTTCAAGAGTCACCAGAACTTATTTTTCTTCTTGATAGGGAAAACCAGCACCTTTTCAGATTTTAAAACCTTTCACCTTATCAAAAGTGATCTTTTCTGGACAAATTGTTACTATAAAGTATTTCTATAACATAGATATATAAATACAAATAATGTGATATTAACTAATTATACTTATAGATAATTATACAAAGAGAGTACTACTAATATATATAATGAAAATATTAAAACTTGCTTAAATTATAACAAATTAAATTATACCTGGCAATTTCAACTGGAAGTCTGTCAGCGAACTCCTACAATTTTAAGTGACACTTCCTTAAACCCAAATTTATTATTAAGGGTTGATGGGGGGTGGAAATAGCCAGCTGTGCACAGGTAAGGCATGCAATTAGGCAGACTGAAGATTAAAGTAATTCTATGGGACTGCTACAAGTTTTAATCTTTCTATGTAAGCTTGAAGCTCCATATCAAGAATTCTGCCTCAAGCTACCTGATGGGTAGGTTTGTCCGAGATCAAAGAATCAATTCAGTACTTCAGTCATCAAGTTCTGCTTCAGGTTTTTGGTTTAGTTTCTTGTTTTGTTAAGTTTTTTTTTTTAAAACAAAACCAAGGTATACTGTTTTACAGAACTTGCAGTTTGTCTTAGTACGAATAAATAGGGGGGAAAAAGATGAGATTTTAACATTTTCAGCTAATTCTAATTATATTCTGTGCATTTAAGCCAACAGGCAAAGATACTTAAAATGATACAAACAACTCTGGATGTTCTTCTATGTTCAAATTTAATTGTTTTCCTGAAGACCATTTCAGAACCGAAGCAATGCTGCTAACACCTACCTATAACATATACACTATAACTTCTTTAAAATAGAGTTAAACTATTGAAAGCTCATGAAGCTACAAATAAAAAATAGCTATAACTTTCTACAAAGAAATATTTTATAGCAGAACTAGACAGTATTATAACACTCATAAATCTGGAACCCAAAATTTCAGTACAAACATCTTTAATTTCCAGTACATTAAATACCTCGATAAAAGCTACACAGACTAAGATGTACATAAATACTCCTTTGGATGTGCATAGAGTTATTTTTTTTTCCATTAACAGGAACAGAACATACCAGATAAAATAAGTAGTTCAATAATTTCTGCATCTCCCAGATAGGCAGCAGCATGTAAAGGGGTCCTTTTCTCATTATCCTGTGGTAAGAGGGGGGAAAAAAGGTTTTATTTAAAATAAAAAAGTATGTTTTAGCATTTTGTATGTTATGAAAAAATACTGCATAAAAGTGCATTTTTCCAAATATTGTACATTTCATATTTTAAATAACATAATTACATTAGTCACATTTACTAAGACAATCATGCTTTTCCCTTAGGAGCTCTTAACACCTACATAGTCAACTACTGCTTTTCTGACACACACAGATTGGCAGATGCTCATCACATCCTTAGATTAACCCATCAGTTATAAATCACCATTCACTGCTCTCCAGAGACAGGAACTTAAGTTTGTCCTACACTGTTAAAATGGTGTGTCATGTCATATGCAACAATTAGTGAGAAACATTTTCTTTGCCAAGTTTAAAGATAGTTTCGGAAGTTATTATTTTAACAGAAAACAGAAAAAAAGCTGGAGTGCATGGGGCAAAAATATCAAACCCAATTTCAACTGTCTTGTTTATGATAAAGAAGCAAAGAGAAGGTAGAGATGCAATTTATTTTTCAAAAAACACTGGAGGATGCAAGTAACACCCAGCACTCCTAATTAGTTCAGGCTAATCTAACATTCTTTTGGAGGTACAAGGATCTTACTTAGACACACACAGTAAATACTGATGAATATTCTCTTTTGAAAGATTAGTACAAAATATCCCTCAACTCTTTCAGGATCAGTGCCATTTCCCCTGCACCAGTTTATAGTTTAATCAGAAAAATAAGATCACATCACAGTGAGTGATAAAAATGAACAAGAACCAACCAGTTTGCTCTCTGAGGGAAGGCTGCTGAGAAATCAGAAAAGAGACAGATAATCAGTCAGCATCCTGGTTCTAGCCTAAGCTCTACTTAGATGCCTAGATTTTTTTAGTAGACTTTCAAGGGCAAGGGATCAAGATTATATGCAGCAAGAAACTTTAAGTCACATGACATTGCTATTAATTCAACCGTTGTGTACTGACTATCATAAAAGTAACACACATTTTTAATTCACATTTTATTTGGAAGAGCATTCCTCTCCCTTACTAAAATAACCTTATTCAGTAAATCCCTACTTGAGAGCTAGCACAATACAAGAATAAAATTAAAGTTCATGGCAGGAGAGATCAGATAGCAAAACTAGAGCTGAGACCCAAGACGTTCTTCTAAAACATAAGACAACTTCAAAACTTAGAACATTCAACCCACACTACTCTAAGAAACATCATCACACACACAACCCCTTGCCCCAAAACAACCTACTCCCTCTGTTAGTCCCTGCTCAGAAAAAGTCGAAGCTACACAGTTCACCATCTTATCCATGATTCCTAACAGAATTTTTTGGATTACACAAAAGTCATTCCAAGTTGAGCAGTGCAAACCTGACACTGATGCACCCTAAGGAATCAATGCTACCTATTTACCACTAGCACCACATAATGCCTCACCAATTTCTTGCCAGTATGTCTCAACTGCAAATTAAACACATCTAGGATAAAAAGAGACAGCCCCCTGGCACCAAAGACTTGCTATCTATGGGGGAAAAAAAAAAAAAAGGAAAAGAAAAAGGAAAAGGGAAAAAAAAAGGAAAAGAAAAAAACCTGGATGCACAGAATTAGAGAAAGATAGGCCATGAGTACATTCTTCTGTAGACACAGCATTTACACAGGAACATGAGCAAAAACTGTACTCCCCATCTAAAGGGTAAAACATTATGATTAAAATGTTCATCACACTGTTGTTGGTTTCTTTGTTTTGGTTTGTTTTGGTTTTTTTTCAGTTTTCAACATCTCAGTGACAGAAGTAATACAAGTAACTAATGAGACAGAAGGAATTGGAAATCTTCCAATAAAACACTGGACAGAAGGGAGTTGTTTTCTAGAAATACACTAATCACTAAGATCCAAATATATTTTCCTGAAACATTCAAGGTCCAAATGTCAGACATGCTTCTCCGAAAAATCCAACATCTATTAAGAAAAACCGTTGAGCATCCTGAAACCACCAAGATGCAAACACAAAAGCAGCTTAAACACAAGCAACATTTCCACTCCAACTCTCCTGTTTCCAAGCTGTGAGATTGCAGTCATGCAAATATTTCATTTCTGCTGCTCTTAAACTGACAACTTGAAAAGATTCAAAGCAAAACTTCCAGTTCTGGAGCCGGGAGTACAAACTGAAAGTTTACTTATTCAGCAAGTTGGTGGAGATGTCCCTACTCTCTGCAGTGCTGGGATGCTCAGGGCTTGTCATCTTCTGGGTCACCTCCAGAGTCTGGTATTTCAACAATCTCAAGCCCCAGGGTATCTAACGACCACAAATATTCCACATGCTGAGGGTGCTTTGACAGAAGCCCTGACCTTTCTTTTCCCCCTAGTTTCACAGCTCACATTTTTTTGATGCTTCTAAACAATTATTTTTTTTAATTTAACTTCTCTGTGTGAAAGTTTTAGGTTTAGTATTTAAACAAATGATTTTCAGAATTTGTTACAAAAGTAGAAATGCTGCAATCAGCAACCTCTCATTCTCATTTTGTTCCAAATGAAGTCTTACATTTTCTCAATGAATTTTAATAAATGAAATTTGACTAAAATGAAAGGGAATTATGTATTTTAAAAGCTACTAAAGTACCACTTTACAAACTACTTTTTATTAAGAAACAGTAATAATTTGATGACCAAATTTCATCTGCAAATACAAGCTACTGCATATGAAGGATTACATTAAATAACACTAAGAAAGCTTTCAGCTTTAACAAGGAACCTTAGAAGAAGACTTCTTACAGCACTGACATATCATACTAATATAAAGCACTGAGATACCATACTAATACAAATTCTGACCCTAGTATTCTTCCCTTACTTTCATAAATTTAAAATGACGTTAAAAGAAAGATTTCAATAGAGAAGGGGTTTTGTACATAAAAGTCACTGTTACAGAACATGTAAAATCTGTACTGTTGGTACTATTTAATTCCAAATATCTATTAATACTATTTAATTCCAAATATCACAGTGTTGTGGCAGTATTTAACAACTCGGAAAAGCAAGTGTTGTGCCATCTTCATTTTTCAACTCAAAAATCTGCAAGGTAAATAGGATTATTACAACCCTAAATCAGCTGTAATGGTAGAAAGGAAACAGATCTAATTGCATTAGGCAGGTTTTACATAGTTGAAAGAGAACTTTCAGCTTTTTCAAACTTGTTGTTTCCAGTAGAAACAACAAAGAAATTTATATTCCCAACAAGAAACTCCCAAGTTTAATTCCAGATATTGGTCAATGCTGTCAACAAACCAAAAAGCAATAAGAGGGCTCAGTCCTTAAGGAATCAGTATTCAGAATGATAGTTCTGTGTCACAAAAAGCCCAACATCATATTTATATTTAACTTTGGATTGCATTACATGAAAAATACATAATCCTTCCATTTGCAGTACTCCCATTTATCAAGTTTGCCAAACATTTTCTTTATGCAGGAGTTTGTATAAGGATTAGAACATGAGAAAGTCGTAGAAGGCCTTATGACCCCATTAAACCCAAATCTGGAATAAGGTGACATGGATAGTGGTATTGTGAGCTTATTAATAAACTCTCCTAACCTAGAACCATCGTAACGCCACTTTTGTTTCATTTTACCTAAACCAGAAGCTTTAATTGCTTCACTGGTTATTTCATGGATCAAAACTCGTACAGTGGACAAACCTGTACTAACTTAAAGACACAGGTTTCAAACCTACCTCTTTTCAAAGAAGTAAGAGTCCTCCAAGATACATCAATTTATTCCTGTTTTGTTTTGTTTATTTATTCCTGGTTTGCTATCTCAGCAATTGACTTAGAGTAACTACTTAGAAGTACAGAGAGTTTTAAGAAGTTAGATGCCTTAAAGGCAAATTTCTTATCCCATGCATATCCAGTAAGACTGCTGTAATCAGTCCATAGCTTTCCCAAGAGCATATTAGAATATAAAACTCATTTTGCCCTTCAAATAGTTCAACATCTACTGATCCAAAATCTTTGAATTAAAATACTTTCTGGAAAAACCCTTTATAAAAACTCCTCTTTAGCCTATCTGCCCTTCAAAACCAAATTTTGCAATAACACTTTAAAATACTCTCATTATTTCATGAACACACTCACAAAATATCATTTAATAGGTGTTTTGTGTTGTATAACTTGACAGCTGTCTGCTTCCAGTGCCATCTGTTCCTGGCAGAAATCAACCCTAAATACGCGATCATAAATCTTGAACAAGTTTCAATTCCAACATACCCTGTAGTAGCTTTAATAAACACTCCTTTTAAGTGAAATGATTTTTAAATATAACACTTAGTGCATTTTTCAGTTCGGTTAGAAAAACAGGACTTTTCAAGCAGCACAGTGGGTAACTCCTGGGTTCACAGATAATGTTTAAGAACACGATGACAAAGTATTTCCCATTCTTTGATAGCGTCCAGTACCACAGGGACCTCTCTCTGTGTGAAGCCCCAGTGCTACACTTGGGAGTCACCAGAACACTGAACTATAGCTGCACACTTTAGAATTATCATTTCATCTGGTTGAGTAACTGCATACTGTAACTGAAATTCTTTGTTACTCCACACACAAAAGAACCTATTTAAATATTTGGCTTTTACATTTCAACTTTAAACCTCTCAAAAGTTTACTTTAGGTACTTAGTTCTACAAACCAGGTCACTAACTCTATGGAGGTATGTTCAATCACAATAGTGTCTTAAACACACATAACTAGAATCTGAAAATTAATAAACTTAAACAATAAGAAAAGGACTAAGTACTAGGTTTTCGAAACTTGTAATTCTGTGACAAATTCATTTGGTATCCCTGCCCTACCTTAAGTGTAATTCATCTGCTATTTATTTGGACTTTTCCCCAGTATTTCTTAAGTCAATTCTCAGAACTTTGCATTGTCAAAAATTAACACATTTCTAACCGATTTTGTTAAACATACTTTTTGGAAGCAGACCTCTATTTTCCCACCATCT